TATTTTTACTAGAGACGGGGTCTCGCTCTTGCTCAGGCTGGTCTCGAACTCCTGAGCTCAATTGATCCTCCTGCCTCGGCCTCCCAGAGTGCTGGAATCACAGGCGTGAGCCACCGAGCGTGGCCCCAAAACGGTTTTCATATCATTAAACCGAGATGTAGACGCACCTTGTTTTACATAGACGCGCTTCCGAGCAAAACTGTATGTAAAGAATGTGAGTTAGGGTGAAGCGCGGCGGCTCAGGCCTGTCATCCTAGCACTTCGGGAGGCCGAGGATGGAGGATTGTTTGAGGTTGCAGCGAGCGCACGGTGACGCCCCTGTTCTCTAGCCCGGGTGACAGAGCGAGACCCTGTCTTTGCAAGAAGAACGTGGATGAGTTCGTGCTGTAAACCCGGCGATAAATCCACTAGCGAAGGAAGAGCGCCCGCAGTGTGCATCTGTGCAGATCTCGTTGCGTGCATCTCTCTCGCTCGAAGTGTGCTCGTGTGGGGACGGCGTCCGCGGGGCGACAGGGCGTCCGGGGCGGGAGGAGTGACGGGTCGGCCGTCGGGCGGGTGCAGATCCCAGAGGGCTGGTCCCCCCCCCCCCCCCCGGGCCCCTTCTAACCTCTCTCTCTCCCGCCAGATCGAGCGGCTGGAAGTGAGCAGCCTCGGCCCGGCCTCCAGCGCGGCGGCGGCGGCCTGCAGCGCCGACGGCGGCGTCCACACGGACGCCGTAGACGGGACCCCGGACCCGCAGCGCACGAAGGCGGCCATCGCCCACCTGCAGCAGAAGATCCTGAAGCTCACGGAGCAGATCAAGATCGCGCAGACGGCCCGCGACGACAACGTGGCCGAGTACCTGAAGCTGGCGAGCAGCGCGGACAAGCAGCAGGCGGCGCGCATCAAGCAGGTGTTCGAGAAGAAGAACCAGAAGTCGGCGCAGAGCATCCTGCAGCTGCAGAGGAAGCTCGAGCACTGCCACCGGAAGCTGCGCGAGGTGGAGCAGAATGGCATCCCGCGGCAGCCCAAGGACGTGCTCAGGGACATGCACCAGGGCCTGAAGGACGTGGGCGCCAGGGTGACGGGCTTCAGCGAGGGCGTGGTGGACAGCGTCAAGGGCGGCCTCTCCAGCTTCTCGCAGGCCACGCACTCGGCCGCGGGCGCCGTGGTCTCCAAGCCCCGGGAGATCGCCTCGCTGATCCGCAACCGGTTCGGCAGCGCCGACAACATCCCCGGCCTGAAGGACTCCCTGGAGGAGGCGCCGGCGGACGACGGGGCCAAGGCCCTGGGGGCGATCGCGAACTTCCAGTCGAGCCCCAAGTATGGCAGCGAGGAGGACTGCTCCAGCGCCACCTCGGGCTCCGTGGGCGCCAACAGCACCAGCGGCGGCGTCGCCGTAGGGGCGTCCAGCTCCAGAACGAACACCCTGGACATGCAGGGCTCGGGCTTCGACGCGCTGCTGCACGAGATCCAGGAGATCCGGGAGACGCAGGCCAGGCTCGAGGAGGCCTTCGAGGCCCTGAAGGAGCATTATCAGCGGGACTATTCCCTGATCATGCAGACCCTGCAGGAGGAGCGGTACAGGTAAGCTGCCGGGCTGGGGCCCCGGACTGTCTGCGCGGGTCCCTCCCCTCGCATACGGGCAAGCGGCTTCAGAAAGTCTTCGTCAGCCGGGCGCGGTGGCGCACGCCTGTGATCCCAGCACTCCGGGAGGCCGAGGCGGGAGGATCGCTCGAGGTCAGGAGTTCGAGACCCGCCTGAGCAAGAGCGAGACCCCGTCTCTACTAAGAGTAGAAAGAAATTAATCAGACAACTAAAAATATATAGAAAAAATTAGCTGGGC